GGGGTCAGTAGGATATTTACATGTTTTAAAATAAGCTTCTCCTTCTCACTAAAGCTTCATTTATTTCAGCAAAAAATACATTAAAAATTGTAAAATGCTATTGCACTATAAAATAACTGTTCAAAATACTGTAGAATTTAATAATTTATTTTAGTGATTTTAAAGATGAATTTTCAGCTTCATTACTCCAGTCTTCAGAGGCACATGATCCTCCAATATTAATTATTATTTATGTAATATTACTAAAAGCAATAATGTATGGAGTAATCCATTGAGAGTAAACTACATACAATAAGAAAGCAGTTACTTTAAATTTTTATAAATATTTAACCATTTTTTTTTACATTTATTAAATGTCGCCTTCATTAGCAGAATAATTTTCTTTAAAAAAAAAAAAAACAGACCCCAAACTGTTGACCAGTAGTGTACATGTAAGAACAAGTAGTAATTTACTTATATAGCACATTTTTTGACAACACACAATCAATGCTAATTAAAATAAAAAATCACCCAGCTAATAACAACTGATAACAACTAATACCTAAAAAAAAAAAACTCAACTTTCAAAAGGTAAAGGGCGCAAGATACAATTTTAAAAGGTTTTTAAAAACAAGTTGGAGTGAGCCTAATGTGAGGTGGAAGCTTATTCCAGCATTATCCAAAACAAGACAGGGATGTTATAACGCAGTGTGTGAGTTTGCATTCTCTGGTGAGTAAGTGATAAGTCTTTTATCAGAGCTGTCCATTGTTCAGTTCTCAGCTAACTGTGATCAACTACTGTATGCCACAGCAGGCGACTGCACTGTATTCTGCTCTTATTCTCACACCTACATCGCATAGACATTTGTCTCAGAGTTAAAATACACTTCAGTCTAAAACATCTAAATCAGGGGTGTCCAAACTTTATTGTATGAAGGGAAAAAAACAAATATCATTGGGCTTAAAAATACCTTGAAAACATTACTTTTTTTTTTAAATTAACTAATTAAATTACTTTAAAAAAAAACTAATGCTGTAAAATTCTAAACGATAACTTATTAAAATGAAAAAATATATATAATAATAATAAATAAATCATTTATAACAAAGTGGAGTTCAACTGCAGAATCTTCCTTTGCCTTTATTTGCTCACTGATGCATTCTTCTCTATGTCGGGTGAGAGTACGTACATTAAAAAAAAAATAATAATCTTATATACAACAAGACTTAATTACAACATTTCATTGAAACATTTCATATTTCAGTTTTTTTTTTTTGTAGCTTTTGTAGCAATACAACAAACAAACAAAAATAAGTTTACTAAGGTTACTTAAAATAAGAAATCTCTAAACCATCCTCCTCCTCTTAATTTTTCTTCTTCAACATTACCATGGGTCAATTTAGGCCTGCAGGCCCTAGTTTGGGCAACTCTGATCTAGATTAAAGGGACAGTTCACCAAAAAATGAAAATTCTGCCCCCATTACTTACTCATACTTACTTACTTATTTTATTTCAATACTGTTTTTGTTTCAATCAAATTTTAACTCTTAAAAGGTAACTTTTTTGTAGCAACATAAGACTAGCATAACAAGAAACATTTTGATCTATAGCCAAACTGTAAACTAAAAATTCACTCAACTTAAAATTGTAAGGCAACTTGCTGCAGAGATTTTTATTTTAGCTGACACAAATTGAGCAAGGTGCAGTACTTGGGTTAAAAATGAGTTAACTCAAAAAAAGCTGTGCAGCAAGTTGACTTATAATTTAAGGTTCAGTAAATTTTTCATTCATTCATACATTTTCATTCGTTTTAGTCTCTATTTGATAGGTCACCACAGCGTAATGAACCACCAAATACTCCAGCATATGTTTCACGCAGCAGATACTCTTCCTACTGTAACCCAGTAATGGGAAACACCCAAGCACTTTCACACACACACACTCATACATTACAGCAAATTTAGTTTATTCAATTCACCTATAGCGCATGTCTTTAGACTGTGGAGAAAAACAGAGCACCGTGGAGGAAACCTACGCCAACATGGGGAGAACATCCACTTCACACGAAATGCCAACTGGCCCAGATGGTACTCGAACCAGTGACCTTCTTGCTGTAAGGTGACAGTGTTCATTTTAATTAGTTTCAGATTCTAGACTTAAAAAATATAAAAACTATAACAACATATAGAAGATTTTCACAACCACAAACGGCATTTGTAAAGTAAAATGATGAAATTAATGGATCTTTTAAAACGCATTTAATGATGAAAAAAAGCTTTTTAAGGGCCGCACTAACATTTATATTTAAAAAAAAAAATCTGAATTATTTGATGTAACTTTAGGACAATAATATATATATATATATATATATATATATATATATATATATATATATACATATATATAGTCCCTTTCAGAATATATATATATATATATATATATATATATATATATATATATATATATATATATATATATATATATAATATCTATGTATATATTTATTTTGACCCCTGAAAGTCATGACAAGGTTAAATGTTTCTTGCGTTTTTTTAAATAAGTTAATCAGGTTTAAACTTGATTTTATACGCATTTCATCTTAAAAGTATTGTGGGCCTAAAAATTTAGATTTTGTCACTATTCTTTCACATTAAGTGATTTCAAACCTTTATGAGTTTCTTCCATCTGTTGACCACAAAATTAGATATTTTGAAGAATGCTGACATCCACAGATATTACGAAAGTTTTAAGCTTCCTTCAAAATACCTTATTTTAAGTTTAAAAAAACAAACTTAATTTCATAAGTAAGGTGTAAATTTACCCTCAGCACAGAATGAAAAAAATACTGTAAACAAGTTGAATCAAATGATAGACAAATTCAATCGGGTGAGGCAGTGGCGCAATAGTAGTGCTGTCGCCTCACAGCAAGAAGGTCGCTGGCTCGAACCTCGGCTCAGTTGGCGTTTCTGTGTGGAGTTTGCATGTTGCGTGGGTTTCCTCCGGGTGCTCCTGTTTACCTCACAGTCCAAAGACATACGGTATAGATGAATTAGGTAGGCTAAATTGTCCGTTGTGTGTGTGTGTGTGTCCATGTATGGATGGGTTGCAGCTGGAAGAGCATCCGCTGCGGAAAAACGTGCTGGATATGTTGGCGGTTCTTTCCGCTGTGGCGACCCCAAATTAATAAAGGGACGAAGCCGACAAGAAAATAAATGAATGAAATGAATGAATGAAATTCAGTTAACTGAATTATTAGACATGCAAATGTAGCTTGATAGAAATAACTAGAAAAAGGCAATGAAAAATAATACATACAGTGTGGGAGAATTATATGGATACACCTTAATAAAACGGGAATGGTTGGTGATTTTAACATCCTGTTTGTGGCACATTAGTATAAGTGAGGGGGCTTGTAAATAACTCATAAAAAAATAAAGTTATGTTAAAACCAAACACAAGTGTTATTAAGGTGTGTCCATATAAATGGCCCACCCTGTATTATACTTTTAGTGTATTTGTGGTTGTTAAGAGACAGCATAATCTATCTCTAATACACACAGTTAAAACCCCAATTATAGGCCCCTGTGAAATTTGTACTTTTTTCAAACATTGAAAGAAAATGTGAACAGTTACATAAACCTAACATTTTTTAAATAATTAATAAATTTGTCTTTGCCATGAAAGAACACAGTATGTTACAAGCTATTTACTAACTTGTTTGCATGACACAACTATTTTCCTAAAATGCCATTTAAAGGCTTAACTGGTTAATTAGGTTAACTAGGCAAGTTATGGTAATTAGGCAAGTCATTTGATAACAGTCAAACAGTCGTTGGTTCTGCAGCCAATGAAAAAAAGAGGCCAATAATCCAGTTTTTTGCTTTAAGCAGCTTAGCAGTTTTTATTTTAATTTTAATTCAGCCAAATTAAAATGTTTATAATTATGATGTATAATAATTAATAACATTTGCTCAAGAAAAAAATATCACATTAAATTTTGTGAAAAATGTCCTCTCCAATAAACATCACAAAAAATGAAAAAAGAGAGAAAAAAAAAACTGGAGGGATGTACATTTTACTATAAATATTTTTAACGCGGTCTCCTAATCAGTCCACGCAAAAAACAATATACTAAAGGTAAATGTTGTCACTGTATTTGATGGAACTCAATATCCACCTCTTTCGAAAGCCATACAAACATTATAAAGAACTATAGATAATTGTAATAAAGAAAAATTCTAATACATTAACCACAAATTCATAGTTATAACCTAATAAAAGCATTCGAGCATTATAAAGACAATATATAGAGCATTATACAGGCCATGTGTACACACACACACGTCAGAATTATTAAAATTCATTTTCTTTTCGGCTCAGTCCTTTTATTAATTTGGGGTCGCCACAGCAGAATGAACCGCCAACTTATCCAGCAAGTTTTTACGCAGCGGGAGCCCTTCCAGCCGCAAGCTATCTCTGGGAAACCTCCACAAACACTCATTCACACTCATACACTACGGACAATTTAGCCTACCCAATTCACCTGTACCGCATGTTTTTGGACTGTGGGGGAAAACGGAGCACCCAGAGGAAACCCACGCAAATGCAGGGAGAACTTGCAAAGTCCACACAGAAATGCCAACTGACCCAACCGAGGTTCGAACCAGCGACCATCTTGCTGTAAGGCGACAGCACTACCTACTGTGCCACTGCATCGCCCATTTCAAAGTGACATTTTAACTTTTATTCTACCAAACTTTAAGAAATAATTTTTTACAGAAGTAAACACTGTAAAAATTCCCCTGGTCAATTAAACATTACTAAATTTTTTAAAAAGATTAAAAAAAAAAAAAAAAAAAAAAAAACACAAAACCCACAAAAAAGGGTTTTTGGTTTTAGGAATTTGATGAAAAGTTTTGATCCACTTCAAATGTGTGTGTGAGTGTGTGTTCCTTACAGTTTTGTATTCATTCCTTCCAGTTATGTAATCAGTTTAAAATGAAACAGATTGAATGTGGAATGTTTTTCAGGCATTGGCTTTAATAAATTCAACCTTTACTTTATATACACAGTCATGTTACACTAGATATCCACATTGTAAATCTCTTTGAAGATTTATGAACCATAATATTGCAAAACTTTGTCATCAGTGGGTTTGAGTATTTTCTTGTCAGCCATATTAACCACCCATCCAGGTGATAACCCAAAAAAGATGTGACGAGGATTCTTTCTTTGTACCAGCATTTCAAATAGTGTATCCTTTGAGATGTCAGGTATGCTGTAACCATACTTTTTAGCCAGATCCATCCGTGCAGTTTGAATCTTATCTGGGTCTGCGAGGTAGCCACGATTATTGGCATCTGTGTAATATGGAAGAAGATCTTCACCAGGAAACAGGCGCTTGGGTATGGGTTCGCCTGACATGAAGAACGGCACTGGTTTGATGAGGATTTCTAAAACAAAACACGCATATCTTATCATCTTATTAAATCAATGCCTCTAAGAAGATGGTAACCTGCACGCTATGCAAGACTGTGCTTTTGTGGCATGGAAGTAGACTACCAAAGTCATCTTAACTGTCAAAATGGTATAGTTTTATTGTTTTTGTCTAAGCGGTTTACTAACTTCAGGACATTTCGTCACCTTGGAATTATAAGGTTCTATCTGCGTTCTGAGTGATTTTAAGGTATTGAGCTTCAGAGTTTTTGCATTCAATATAGAAAACAGTATGTGAGTAACAACTTATAAAAAACATGCCATAATGTAAATGAGTTGTCATTTAATAAGAATATGTTAATAACTCAATTTTGATAAATATGTCAGATAGAACCTTATGATTCTAAGGTGACGAATTGTGCTAGATTAGTTCAGTTGCAACTCACAAGCATCACACTGCACAGTCACCTCAAGTGCTATATAAAACAGTTGTGTAAAGTAACTAATTACAAATACTCAAGTTACTGTAATTGAGTAGTTTTTCTCAGAAATTGTAATTTACCAAGTTGTTTTAAAAATACTTTTATTTGTGTACTTTTACTTTTCCTTGAGTAGATTTTTAGTGCAGTATATGTACTTTTACTCAACTACATTCCTTCAACCTGCAGTCATGACTTCCTGTCCAATCAAATCACACATAGAAGGTCATCATAATGCATCATAATGAACTACTTCAAGACATGTGCACTTTACATTGCAGCAAACTGTTTGGAAGCATTAAAAGAGTCCAAGAAGATGTTCAAAATCTTAACACGCATTGACCCAGAGACTGTTTAGATGAGGGATGCCCAAACAAAGACCTGGAGGGCGGATGTCCAGCAGATTTTAGATCCAACTTGCCTCAACACACCTCCACAGATGTTTCTAGAAAGCCTAGTATGAAATTGAATAGCTAGCCCAGGTGCGTCTAACTGGGATTGGAACTAAACTTTGCAGGACACCGGCCTCCGAGGACAGAGTATGGGCACCCCTGGTTTAGATGCATGTCACTGATGAGAAGATGATGGATATTTACTGTATGATGACCGAAATAGCCTTAAACTCCCAGCAGACACAAGACGTCAAGATGCAGACACACAATGTCATTATTGGACATCAAAATAATGTTGTCCTTAGACGCTGGCTAGACATTGAATTTTGAATTTTCTGACATTGTGTGCCTGCCTAGCAATAACTAAATGCACTACACAATGTTACGTTTGCACACACACATCCACAAATTACATGTATATGCATCAACTTTTGACAGCATAATACTCATGAGTACTTTTAAAAGGGCTACTTTTTACTCCTACTTTGATTAATATTTACAACAGGTACTTTTATTCTACTCACACTACATTTTTAGGCAAGTAATGGTACTTTTACTTAAATATGCTTTTTCAAAACTCTTTCCCCCACTGTATATAAATGATTAAATGGCGCTACTTTAAATTAGCTTAAATTAAATGGTGTGAAAAGAGTCGGGATGCAACAATTCTAGATATTGGTTGTATGATTATAGTCTGAAGAATAATCACAATTTCAAGGTTTCATGATTATTATGCATTCATTCATTTCAAAACACTACTAGTTTAGAAAATAACACATAACCAAACATAATTTGACTTAAAACTAAGTGAAAAAATGATTTTGACATTTAAACATAAGTAATAATTTTACACTACAAATTACAATTAATAAAAGTAAACAAAAAATAAAATTATAAATAAATAAAAAATAAGAACTAATTAATAATAGTATTCGTCTAATGTTAATCTAAGCTTTTAGCTAAGTATTTCCCTTTAAAAGAGAACAAATGTAGTCAAAGGCTGCTAAACCTCTGTTTGAAAGGCACGTTTGATCAACTAAATTCTAAAATGGTTTAGTATTTTTCATTTTTATTTATTTTTTCTCTTTGGAGTAGAAATGTGTAAATTCCATACAGAGTATGAAGCTGACTGGTCAGTTTTTGTCATGTGACTCGGTGTGCTCTCGCTATATTCATTTAACTAGGTGCAATTGGAAAGTGTAAGCATTTCGTGCCACATGCAAGTCACTCCCAGCATGTCACAAGAAAAGAAATAAGAACTTGTCTACGCAAAAGATGTCATATGTACAGTAAATGGCCGTTAGTTAACAGCCGCAGCCATAGTTAATCCAGTGTTTGTGTTTTAGACTATGTTCACACTGCGAGGTTTAGTGCTGAAATCTGATTATTCCCAGATCTGATTTTTCTTGCATAGCTTTTTTTTCTTTCTGACCATCGGTGTAGTAAACTCATCAAGGGTTAATGAGCAGCCGCAAAATGAACTGTAAAGGCGGAGTTGGTTTATCTCTGTTTGCAGAGTTATTAGACAACAGGTCCATGCAGAAGGGAAGTTTGCGTGTTAGAGCACCTGCCTGTTTTTTTCTCTTGGAGAGAAAGTTCATCCTAAAATGAAAATTTGCGCACATATCGTTTTTTATTCGGATTAGAAAAACAATAATAACAAATCGCCAAACTACACGATTAGCAAAATAATTGATAGTTGCTGCCCTAAATGTGTGCAAATGTGGGGATACTGTGGCTGTCGACTAAAAGAATAAAACATTGAAAAGTTGCACAAAAGGGAGCTGATAATAACAAAATTATATAAACATATACGTCAATACGGTAATAAGACCTGTGATTGGCATTGTAGCCATATTTTGAAATCATATATACTGAAATCATAAGTAGAGTAAAGCCTGATTTATACTTCTGCGTCAGGTGACCGGCGTAACCCACGGCGCAGGCAACGCGCGTGGCTGTGCATTTATACTTCTGCGCGCTCTCTCTGTCGGTCTGCATTAACCCTTCCGAAACGCTAGTTGGCATTGAGGTGTAAATGTTCCTCTGTGTCGAGTTTCTTCACTACTCTTTTGCATTTCCTGAACACTTCCGGGATGTACAAGTGGCTCAAACTCGCTCATTTTGAGGCAGGAACCGGCGGACGTGCAACAACTTTAACTATGAGGTAAACACAAAACAAAACTTTCCATCCGGAGCTCCTTCACGGTACTCCACACTTGTAAACAATCACTCGCGCGCTGTCGCGCTATTCGCCCGGCTCTGCCCCGCCCAGACTCGTCATCGCTACCAAGCCGACCAATCACAGAGCTTACGCTACGCGTCGCTGCGACGTGTAGTTACATTTTTTGAGAGGTGCACGTCAGTGACGGCGATGGCCACGGCGAAGGGCTATGCGTCAGCGCCGTAGCATACGCCGGTGTTTGACGCAGAAGTATAAATCAGCCTTAAGAGTGTAAGTATACTAACGGAGGCTCCGTGGATCGTAGTAGCTGGTTGTGATAACACCCCCATTTCGCTCAACTGCAGCGATGGCTTTCTCCGAGGCAGCCTGGACCTCCAGGTTTACTTTTGCACAAAATATATCAGCACCCTGCAAAAACAGACACATACATGATGGCTTCAGTGAAATCTCCCATGAATTATATTATAAGTCGAATTCAAATCTGTTAGGATTCAAAAACAACAACATTAAAAAAAGAAGAATTAATCAAATACACACCTCATCAACAAGCTGAACGCCATAGTCTCGTTTTTGAGGCTGGATCTCAACTCCTCGTCCATTGACAAGCTGAGTTAAATCGATGGGTTGACTGGGGTCAATGTGACCCAAATCTATTAAGTACTGAAGTCTGCGCAGGGATAATGGGGGATACTGTGGCTGTCGACTAAAAGAATAAAACATTGAAAAGTTGCACAAAAGGGAGCTGATAATAACAAAATTATATAAACATATACGTCAATACGGTAATAAGACCTGTGATTGTCATTGTAGCCATATTTTGGGATGACAAGATAGAATGGAGTCTGTCCACCCTCAAAGCCCAGTCGCGGTCGATTACAACGCTGTCTTTCACCTTTATGTCCCCATCCACTTCTGTTGCCTCCATGCATTCCACGGCCTCTGCGCTTTTCCTGTAAAGTGATATGCAGAATATTAGTCTAGTAATAATGTGTACTCTTGCTCTTTACACCTATTTTTTTACATTTCTAAAATCCAGTTATTTTAGGCATATAAAAATAGTAAATTATTGCATGATTCAGCAAATTAAATTTGCAAAGGAAAATTTTCCTGAACATTTTTATAGTGGAAGTCTCTCACACTCACAGAAATAAGCTTTCTTCAGCAATGCAAAACTATCTGGATACAGTTTTCTGCTTTATTAATAAACTAGCATTTGTTAATAGAAGACTATGTTTATGTGCAAAACATAATCAGGCTATTTTGCTCCAAATGCAGCCAAGGATTGAACTGAGGTAAAATGTAATTTAATGTGTATTTATATAGCGCATTTATTGTGTATAGCCATACACCCAAAGCGCTTCACAATCATGAGGGGGTCTCTCCACACCACCACCAGTGTGCAGCATCCAATTGGATGATGCGACGGCTGCCACAGGACAACGGCGCCAGTGCGCTCACCACACACCAGCTATTGGTGGAATGGAGAGACAGTGATAGAGCCAATTCGGTGGTAGGGGATGATTGGGAGGCCATGATCGTATGGGCCAATAGAGGAACTTTGGCCAGGACACCGGGGTTACACCCCTGCTCTTTCACGAGAAGTACCATGGGATTTTTAATGACCACAGAGAGTCAGGACCTCGGTTTAACGTCTCATTCGAAAGACTTAAGAGGTAAAGTGTAGGGTCTACAATGACATGTAATATACAGATTAATTAATGTACTGTTATGCACTGTTAAGCACAACGCATATTTGTAACTGTAAACCATTAAAAAAGCTAATAAACAAACTTATCTCTATGAAAGGTCCCTATATTGTTTACCACAATACTTTAAATATTCTGAAATCTGAAAGATTTGTCTGTCAATCACCTGAAAACATTAGCAACATTTAATTGACTTTAAACAGTGTTGTACTTTAATAGTCATTGTCTACTACTATGATTTCCATATTTATAATTTGGAAAAAAAACACTTTACTGAGATAATATTAAGTATTATAAATATAAATTATATTAAAGCCTGAATGCGAGATTATAAAAAACATTACCCCAATTTTGACATTAATGATGCCTTTAGAATCTTTTAGAGTCTAACACTGTGACCAACACACAAAATAACTTGCATTGTAAACACATACATAAAACTTAATGTAAGAAGCATTCGTTTTCCAACAACAGGTTCTTATCTACAAACATCTACTCATAAATTTCACACTATATAACCATATACTACAATTGATCATGCTCATGCTCTTTAGCTCGGCAGCTAAACCGCTAATTCCTTACATTAAAACATTTAACATAAAATAGACTTACTAATGTTTTTGCACCCGGGTTTGGTCGAAGGTTTGCCAGTGTAATGCGAGGCAAATTCTTTACTATTTCTATCGTTTTCCCCCCTGGTTTCTTTATTAAAGACATTTTAGAGCCACAGAAATGCTAGTCAAGGGCAGCTGACATCGGGAGACCCACGTGGTACACCAAACCGGAAACACTAGTGGAGAAAGGGAAAAAAAGACATACGAGACCAAAATCATGAAAAAAACTATTGATATAAACGCACGAATATATAGTAAATAAATAATACCGCGCCTGTATAAGTTGATGTGATCGTACTTTTTATAATTGATAATGTTTAAAAATAAAAGGATCAACAAAAGTAGAGACATTTCAGTATTGCTGTAATACTTTTGTTTAATTGTTACTATTTTCAATAATATATGCATAATGAACGTTTGGATTTTAGCAAACAAACAAACAATAAATAAATGAATGAATAAATAAATAAATAAATAAATAAATAAATAAATAAATAAATAAATAAATAAATGAATAAATAAATAAATAAATAAAGAAATAAATAAATAACTGAAAATTAATGTTCCACACTCCACCCAGCAGGTGTCAGTAATGGATTTAAAAGCTGTGTGTTGACCGTCATAAAATTAAAAAGAATCGTTGATGTTAAAGCCCACTGAGCCATCGTAGCTTTTTGTCATTGAATGTAAGCCTTCGGGATTTTTTATGTGTGGTAATAACATGTCAGCGCCGTTGCCAACAATTGTGCCCGCCGCTTGTAAAGCCACGGCCGCGGTAGGTGATACCATGAGCACAAAATTACAGGCAAATGGCAACAGCCCTCTCGATTTAACCTTAAGATAGCATAGTATAATATACTTATATGAATGTTATAAGCATGTGTTTCTTTTCACCAGGTGATATTCCTACATGGACTGGGAGACACAGGGTAAAGTGTGTCATTATTTTGTGGCATGACTAAGTAAACACTTCAATGAAATTAATAATTAGCCATTACATATTTTTGACAACGTGTACACTACCTTTTTTCAGACATGGATGGGCTCAAGCTATGGCTGGTATCAGGACCCCTCATGTCAAGTACATTTGCCCCCATGCGTATGTACAAAGTTGATTTTTATACATCACTTTAATATAAACATACACATTGACATGCATGCAATATAGGTCTTTTCTATTGTGATTGTTGCCTGTGTGATTATGCCAAAAATAAAATATTTTTAAACCTTTGACATTAAGATTGTACTCATCATCCAAACAAATGGGGTTGTGTAAAACCATTTCAGATTTGAAAGTTTCTTCTAAAATGAGCATTTTTCTCAGGCTCTGTGTGTAGGTTCAGTAATTGCACTATTACGACAATTATTATTTTCTTTTCATTGCCTTTATAATGACATGCCTAATTGACATGCCTGAACATAAACATCTGAGAAAAATACTCATTTCTGGACAACATTTCACAAGGCACTTGGAGGCTTTTGCATCAGAACTCAATTTTGTACTTTGTTGCTTTTTTAGTCACTTAAATGCATGAATGCCTCTAGTTTTGGCCATTCCTTTAACAGAAATGAGCATTACCCTGGTAATTCTAGGGTCAGAGCAGAGGATATTTACTGAACTGTTGACTGGATGCGTGATGATTTTATGGCATACACAATTAAACCTGTTGATGCATATGGAGCTGTTCATTAATTTAGTTTTAAAGAAATATTAAAGGAGACAAAAAGAAAACATGATTTATTTCTTCATGTTTGCAGTTTGCATAAACAAGTACAAAAGTAACTGGTAATTGCTGTTTTAATATTTTGACTGTTTAAAATTGTTATTATAAAACTAAAATAATCTAGGAATTGGCAGTTATTTCAAACGGTCATTATTTGATTTAATAAAATAGTCTTGCTAATAATGTAAGTGCATGACTGGAATAAAGAGTCCAGTCATAGTCCTGTCATAGACTTTAGTTTTAAACCCTGCCTTTTGTTATCAGGAGTGTACTGTGTGATAGTTTCAGACATTGATATTTTGCAGTCAGAATACTCACTCACTTTCCTTCTGCTTATTCCCTGCTTTACCAGTGTTCACCACAGCTGAATGACCACACATCAATGTGTGATCTCGGGTCATTTAGTGTATAATAGGCAGATTTTATGTTTATTTATTTAGATTTTATGCTGTAACTGTTCAGTAAATTTAGCAAGTGTGTGATGCAAAGCAGTTACTTATTCAGTAATGTTAAATAGTGAAATTAAAGATATTTAATTTAATAAAAAACACAGATGCAGTTCACAATATGGTAATCAAAAAACAGCATAAAGATCACTGATTATTAAAGAAAACAGATCTTAAATGCTGTGATTTTGTAATAGAAAGTCAGTTCATCGGAAACTGTTGTGCTGGCTGTCCGAAAGTTTTTAAGTCCATGTGCATATAACCCATTATGATTCCATCTTACTGTTTTACTGCATAGTAGAAATGGCCCTCATACATTTGCATTATTTTTAACCTTCTTTCTCTTTCTACTTTTTTTCTCATTTTCTCGGTTTTTTTTTTTTTTTTTTTTTCTCTCTGTAACTGACGAACAGGCCTGTCATGCCAGTCACCCTCAACATGAACATGGCAATGCCTTCTTGGTGAGATAAACACTTGTTTGCTTATACAGCATTAACCTAAATAGCTCTTCACGTATAACATATTTAACTGATGTGAAATGTATGATGTTGCTCTTAGGTTTGACATAATTAGTCTCAATCCTAATGCACAAGAAGATGAATCTGGAATTAAAAGAGCTGCTGAAAACGGTTAAGTATAATAATAATAAGGCATTTTAGTAATACAGTATCTTCAGAATACTGAATCCAGCATTAAACCCTTTTGAAATTGTCCACAGTCAAAGCACTGATTGATCAAGAAGTTAAGAATGGTATTCCATCTCATAGGATTGTGCTTGGGGGATTCTCTCAGGTAAGACACATTTCCAGCTTTCAGTTTTAATTGGGCACTTTACCTTAAAACTTTACCTTTCAGCACCAGTTAGTTCTTAACAGTTTTGATAAAATGGTAAGCTGTAAAGCAGAATATATTATTGTAGAACATTATTAGCCTCTCTTTGAATTTTATTTCTTTTTTAAATATTTATTTCTGATAATTTTATTTTTCTTCTGGAGAAAGTCTTATTTGTTTTATTTCAGCAAGAATAAATCAGGTATTAGAAATGAGTTATTGAAACTATTATGTTTAGAAATGTGTTGAAAAACTGTATAAAAGCACGCACATCCCTCTTAACTGTGTGCTCAGCCAAAAAACGCAAAAGGTGTAAATTAAATATTCATCAAAGGCGGCAACACCAAAGCTCCAAAAATACACATTTATTAAATTAAAAAAGCTGACACAAAGCATGTAACATTTCGAGCCACATGGCTCTTCATCAGACAGTTTAGAAATGTGTTGAAAAAAATCTCTCTTTAATTTAAACAAATTAAGGGAAAAAAAAATAAACAGGGGGACTAATAATTTTGACTTCAACTGTATAAAAATTTGGTGTTTCGTAATTATTCATAAAACTGTGTGTTATGCATGACATGTTCACTATAGATCTTTTAAAAAGGTAATGATTCGCACTCATCAAGTAATTGCTTCATACTGTTTTTCTTTTTTCTTTTTACATTCTTCGGGTGATTTAAAGACACAAACGTTTCAGCACAATGCCTTCCTCAGTGTGGAAGGCATTGTGCCGAAATGTTTGTGTCTTTAAAACACCTGAAGAATGTGAAAAAAAAGAAAAACAGTACAAAGCAATTACCTGATGAGTGCGAATCATTATCTTTTTGAATAATAGCATTGACAAGATTATTGCACCAAAGAAGTTTCTTTAAAAACCGCAAGCACTATATATCTTTGACATAATGCTATTTATCTACTTTATGAGTGTAACCGGTCTTCACATCTTTAAACTCAAAGGTTAAATGGCTTACAACATCAAAAAAAGGAACCATTTTTGCCCAGACATTTTTTTATTGAATTAAACAATACATGTTCTCCTGTTAAATTCAATACATATACCTCTGTTAAAATCCTAACCTTTCAAGAGGGTGTCCGTAGGGTCTTGCGTATTAAATTCAATAATATATTGTTTTGTCTAAATTTATAAATAAATTTTATATCTTAATTTTCCTGTGTCCATGTAAAGCTACCCAATAAGGCCAACACACATCCAATCACTAATGATTCATTGCAATACAACATTTAACAAACTCTATTCATAACTAATATTATAGTAGTTAATTGAATGGATTTAAATTAAAACCAATATGGTTTATCTTCATTGCAGTAACATATGTTGAAAAGTTCTCAGTGTATTTATAGACCATATAGGCTGAGGACACTGACCCGGATAGACTGTTGTGCATACATTTAGTTTAATATAGTTTATTTTTTTATTTTTTTTATGAGTATGTATACAAATAGGATTTGCTTGTTCAACACATTGCTAAAATATGTTTGTTTAAAAATAACTATTTAGAATATTATTGATGGTCTTAAAAAGCCTGTGTTAGGCATGCCACATTTCAAACAGATTTTCAAAACAAAATTTGAAACCATTGCTTGTCCATTGCTTGATACTGTAGACGAAACCAATTATCTTCATTCTGTTGTGAACTTTGTGCTGTGATTTAATTTTGAATATATATATATATATATATATATATATATATATATATATATATATATATATATATATATATATATATATATATATATATATATATATTAATAATAAAATAAATTGAGCTTTTTATTATTTTATCACAATTTATTAACCAATATGGCAATTGTTTTGAAGAAAATGTTTGTGAAACCACCAAGATTGCAAATAATTGTAGGCTTTCCTAAAGGGTAACCATAATCCTCTCTGTCTTATTCTGGAGCTGGAAATGATTGACTACACATAATTATTTAATTTCTTCTCATATATATGGTAAAAGGGTGGAGCCCTCTCTCTCTTCACTGCTTTGACGACTCATCAGAAGCTGGGTGGTGTAATTGCCCTCAGCTGTTGGTTACCTCTTCGCAATTCCTTATCAAAGGTCAGTTATTCATGTCAATTGTTAAAGAAAATAGTTTGAATTTAAATCAATTTAAAGTATTTTCTTGTGTTGTGGAAACCACTTAAAATACAAAAAGATATTTTGTTCATATTATTATGATATATAATCCCACTTTATATTAGGTGGAATTAACTAATAGTATGTACACTGATATTAATTATCTGTTACAATGTACTTATTGTGTAAATACAAGTTTTTACATTGTAATAATGATTTGTCAAATATCTGCATGTAATTACCTCTGTAATTGCATTTGTAACTACACTGTTGACCACCCCTTACACCTTATTCCACTTTTAAACCTACCCATACCAACAAACTTGTCCCTAACCCTACCCTTATCCCATCCCCCCAGATGTGTTCTGTAGTACATTATGAACACAGTAAGTAAATTGTATTTATTTTTTATGCAAGTACTTAGTAATTTTCCACCTAATGTAAATACCATATTTAAAGCCACAGTACAGCCTTTCTAATATTGTGTCAAAAGATGCTCTCACCGTATGGATGAATTTGGTCTTCAGCCTCAACATTTGGTCATATAAAACCTCCTCAAAAACTTGAAGTGGTTCACCGCAATCCCATATCTGTTTTGTACTGAAACAATAGCCTCAAGGCGATTTTTAGATTAAAAAAAAAATACGTTTTTAGATAAACATTCTTTTAATAATGTATCTCAGTACAAGAGTGTGATTGCTAATTAATGTTGACATTGTTTTCCCCATTTGTCTGCTTTCTGTCTCTTGTAGTCAGTGATAAGCAAAAATAAAGATATATCGGTGCTGCAGTGCCATGGTGAAGCAGATCCTTTGGTTCCTCTTATTTTTGGTCAACTCACTGTAGAGAAACTCAAAAGCATGCTGAAACCCTCCAATGTGACTTTCAAAACATATTCTGGGATGACCCACAGTGCATGTCCTGAGGTTTGCTTGTTTATTATTCACAATACATTAGCTCTGTTACAAAACAAGTTGGGTCACCTCACTATCTGCTCACTTGTATCTTTTAATGCTGTTTCAAATCTTTATTGAAACTCAATGACAACGTCTACTCTAATTTGGATCAATTTGAACACATTTTCATAACTTTTAAATCGTTTCAATCATATCATCATCAAACACTTTAAGCCACATTATTTTACTGGAGTTTATAACATTTAATGTTTACCAATGCTGTCCAAATGGAGTGCATCAAAAAACTGCTGTAGCTGAATTGTTCACATAACTGAAAAGGCATCATTGTTTTTTGAAAGCCATTCACACTGCGACTTGAAAACTTTGTTTTTTATCTTTATCCACTTTGGAATTGACTTTCTGACTCAAAAAGATTTTCATTGCCTAAAAATGCTTTCTCCGTGTGGAAGGAGCCCTAAAATAAAAAGCATATTCTGCATATTTAAACTAAAATGTGTTAGTGTGAACAAGTGCTATAACAGTATTTATCAGTGGACAGTTGACTAACAGCAAGAAATCCAAAATTTCCCATGAATGTGTAATAGCTATAGGAAGTTCAGATAATTTTCCAGAAAAATAGCCATATTCTATTGTTTATCTGGATCTTTTGTCAAACAAAAAGTGCTTATTATGCTTTGAATGTCAAAATACACAGTCAAAGATAAATGTGGAAGGCAAGCATTGACTTCAGGTATTATATTTTGCTGTATATCTTTCACCCCCTACTGGGTTGATCACTAACAACAGCAGTAAAACTAGGGTCCTAGAAATGTGACCCTAAAAACATGATCAGGCTCTCCAGCTATGCAGGAGCATATTAACAGGGGAAAGGCCATGATTAGTTCACCGTTCAAGTCTTTTGGTTTCTGAGTCGTTTGTTAATCTGTGACCACATTATAGTAAGCTCAGTGAGGTCTAATATTTGAAGATGATTTTCATGCATATTTTGACATGTTGAATCAGGGACAGTTTTTACATCTGTTCAGTGTTCAGTAATGAAGATTTCCTATGGCAGTTTCTTCTTCATGGCATATTTGGAGTTTCCACTCATGACTGCAACTGACCACCAACTTTGAAACTGACTACAGTGCTGTGTTCCAATGATAAGATATCCACAATAGCCCTAACATGTCTTGAGTCCTTGGAAAAGTTTTAAGATTTTTATTTATCACATGAAGGACAAATGAAGTCAATTGATTAGTTTAGCTCTGTCACATTAAGTGAAAAAAAAACTGAACAAAAACCACTGATTAATAAAGAAACTAAGCCAGAAAAAAAATGAATAAATGAATATGCACATAATAAAATAATAACATATTAACAACAGAGGTGTTTTTACAGAGAATTTGGAACCATTTAATAGTTTGTTCATCCAGTCCTGCTGTCAATGACGTATAAAGTGACTAAAAACTCAAACTTTATCCCATCATGTGATGGCAAATAAGTCACAAATGACTCAAATCCAACAAAAGACTCATAAAAAAAAAAAAAAAAACTGATTTCCTCCCCAGGTGTGCAATGAACGAATCACTCAGGAGGACTAATCATTCCAGAGTTACTTTAAAAATACCTTTGAAATGAAGGGATCTATTAAGGACCATTCATAAAGCTTACCTTTGAGGGCGTACTCACACTATGTACAGTTGCCTTGAACCGGGCCAAAGCACGCTTGTCCACTCTCCCGTCTCCCCTGACAGCCTGCACTCACATTACATTCGGGCCTGTGCACGCTTACGTCATCACTGCTGCACTGTTCAGTAAGCGCTTTCACTTCAGCACAGTGGAGATTGCTTTAGTTATATCGTTTAAGTCATTTGATATGCAGTGACACGCAGTCAAATTATTTGCCGATCAGATCATCCACTTTTGACGCTCATAAACAACGCTGCAGGAATTAGGAGTTTTGCTGAAGGTGCAGCTGTCGTGCAGTGAGGGGTTTGTGTCTTTAATAATCTACGACAGTTTGCGTTCATTGAACAGTAAGAATGAATTATAAATCCATATCAAACAGTCCCTTAAAAGTCACGTCTCGCTTTCAATTTTGGGCTAAGGCACGTTTTGCACTTACACTCAAGTGTACCGCGGCAAAGCCCAAGTGAACCGCGCTCTGGCCTACCTCTTCCAACCGGGCCAGGGCTGACCAAGGAAACCGTGCCTGAGCCCGATTCAGAGCACCCACACTTCTCAAACAATCCGGGAAACGAGCCTGGGCACCGTTCGGATAGCATAGTGTGAGAAGCCCTGAGATACAGTCGGACAGGTTCCAAGGAATGGGTGAATTTCTGATGCTTCATCTAACCGTTTTCAAGGATAGTGTCAATAAAATATCTCCTAGGTGGCTCATATGTTTTGGAACAGAGCAATCAAAGGGTAGTACATAATGGATCATAAAAATAGAGTTTCGAATGAATCTCTCCTCTTTTTCTTACAGGAAATGATGGACATCAAGCAATTTATTGAGAAGCAGCTACCTCCAATAAATTCGTAATGTATATTGTTATTGGCTGTTCAAACAAGGTACTTGTAGCAAATAAGTACTTTTAAAAAGAGTTGTTGTGAAATAATCTATTTTAAATATATACTTGAGTGTGAGCTGAATGTAACATTTTGGACATTTTGTATGTTATTAAATGCAGTTTAATGAAGGCTTAAAAGAACACTCGGGGCTCATTTTACAAGTCTCCAAGAGTTAAGAAGTCCGCTTGAGAATTTTTAAAATCCATTTAGTCAATTTCTTTTTTCAAAGGGTCTCTTTTAGCTTAACTTAGCAGATTGCTTTCAGGGGGCACTTCATGTGCAAGACATGAGAGACATGAGAGATGCACTGCATACAATGCATTTTTTGGTTAACAAGCAGGAGTCAGAGTTGCGTACTCCTGACTTTCAGTAATTTCATCTTAACATTAAGAATTCTGTTGGTATATATATATATATATATATATATATATATATATATATATATATATATATATATATATATATATAATTTATTTATTTATTTATTATTAGTATATTATTATCTTTATAAGTTTCACCTTACAAGTACTATGTTGGATCCACATTTGCCTTTAGAACTGCCTTAAATCTTTGAGACATAGATTCAAGCAGAATCTCCTATTCCGGCACAATTCAAAAGGGCCCCACTGGAATTGAATTCTGGTGACTTAAAGATGCTTTCTTGCTTGTAATCAGTGGTTATTTGAGTTACTGTTGCCTAGTCAGACTATTCTACTCTGACAACTGGCATCAAGTAATTTTTGCTCACAGAATATTTTCTTTATTTCTGACAAATTTCTGTAAATGCTATAAATAACTTTATGAACATTTCTGTTAACCCTGTAAGACATGACATATGAAAAAAAATTGTCAGAAAATTCAAATTTTCTGGATCTGGGATGTTTATTAAACCATTAAGTAAAAAAAAAATGCCATATCAATTTTTTATATTTATTTTGTATCACATTTGATACATCAGGCATTAGTGCAACTTTTTGCTCAAAACAATGATAATTTCAATTACAAAAAAAACAACTTTGCCCGTAACTTTTTGACAAAAAAGAACATTTCAGGCAGTTTATCTCTTTTTTTTTTTTTTGTTTTTTTTTTTGTTACAATAAGCATTTTACAGTGTTTTATTATTTCACTTTGTGGTAGCCGTACTAGTAGTTTCACTTCTTGTTCAGGCAAAGATGCACTTTACGTTTACACAGTACAGAGGAGTGTAGAGTCATTGCTGGTGCACTGTTTTTATCTCTGTCAGGTTTCTCCATGTTGGAAAATGATCAGGATCATGCCTTCTAACATTAAAAAGCACACCGCAGCTTGACCTTTTATGTGGTGCATGTTCATGTACATGCCTAGGACTTCCTTAATCTCTTTGGCATCTGTGTTTATAGACTTGCCATTGAATATATTGTGCAGGTTTATTTGTTCTCCAGTGTCCTGTAGTGGCAAACTATTTCAATACTGTACTTACTGTATACAGAGTCCATAATAATACATGGCAATTAAAGTGCCATAGAGCAGTTAGGGGAAGATGAGGAGAGATGGAGTCCTTAGGCCATGCATAATGATGATTGTCATTCAGACAGCAGTGATGAGGAAGATTATCAAGAAAAAAGTTTAAGTCCAGACAAGAAGATGAGGTCCCAACAATACAAACACATTACACAGTCAGAAAACAGTCGGTATGAATCCTTAGCAGATGCAATGAACCCCACAAAAATGTAATATGATATTGTACTTTTTTCCATATGTATTCTTTCCTTTTTGCATTGCCAGTTGCTGACTGCTTTCTGACTGTGTACTGTGTTTGTGTAGTTAGGACCTTTACTTTTGTGCTTGTCTAGACAACACTTCCTTCTTGATTATCTTCCTCATCACTGCTTTCTAAATGACCATCATCATGCATGGCCCGAGGAGTCCATCCCTCCTCCTCGTCTTCCCCTGACTTCTCTCTGTCACTTTAATTGCCATAAACTATTATGCTGATGACATTTTCAAGAAACTTTAATTTTTCTACTATCTTCCTCTATTCTTTTGACATCTAAAAATACACATAAATTGATCAATATAGTTTATTGATTGTGAATTATTGTAAATATACCCACAATGTATTTTAAAATGGTATTTCAGTCACTAATTATAATTTAACCATCCAGAAACCGTGTTTGCAATATAGTAGGTATTATATTGATTACATTACAAAAATGTGACATGATTTTTCAGAAACAAAGCACCTTTTATACCTGTTGTATCAAATTTGATACATGATTTTCAACATAGTTTATTTTTCACAAAATAAATTAATTATTAAGTAATTATACTTTTATCAAGAAAACGTTTATTTATTAAAATTAGTAACAATATGAATTTGATTCCTACTATAACAACTTGAAATTAGCAAATAGTTTTTAGCCAAAAAGCATCCGAGTAAATCGATGAAAGTAGCCATTTTGAAAAGGTAAAAAAAAAAAACTCTTTCACGGCCTGCAGTGTTATGAAAAACCACAAGGGGGAGAATACAAGTCTCACATCATATACAACAGGTTTTTAAACAAAAGTATTGATCAGGTTGATTGATATTATATAGGTATTAGAAACTTGTGTATCAAATGTGATATGTGCAGCTTTATAGGGTTAATCATCAGTTTTTGAAATATTCTTATGTCTGGTTTAAACAACAATGCTAGATTTGAAATCACCTGTCACCCCACTCTGGTTAACTTTGCTTTTTGAGCTGATTTGTATTCTATTTCTATTTCTGATTACTATTGTGTGTGTGTGTGTGTGTGTGTGTGTGTGTGTGTGTGTGTGTGTGTGTGTGTGTGTGTGTGTGTGTGTGTGTGTGTGTGTGTGTATATATATATATATATATATATATATATATATATATATATATATATATATATATATATATATATATATATAAATATATATATATATATATACACATACATACATACATACATGCATATATATATATATATATATATATATATATACATACATACATACATACATATATCTATTTAAACAATATTTAAACTATATACTGTATATAAATTTAAACTATATACTGTCTGTTATACAAACTGATAACACCCTTTTATTGCACCTGGATTTGTCTAGATATTTTTCAGCCATGCAGTCTGCATATCAAAGTTGGGACATTAAAAACAAACTCTTTTATATCTTATTGGTACTTCTCTTTATTTGTCTGTACAGTTCATACAATATGCATGTGTATTAAATACAGTTGTTGCATTTAAAAACATTTATCAAGTCATACATATGTCAGCACAGAGATGGACCAAGTTGAGCTGTCTTGCTTTGGTAGATTATAATATATTTTTAACATTTAAACTATAAATAATAATAATAATAGAGCTGAACTAATTGAAAAGACAATTTCTAATGATACTTCCTTATGCATTATTATTATTTTAGGTCCTATCTCAGACTGTGAAGCAAGGCACAACTGTGGTTCTGCCATTCTGACACAAATATAGTAAAACATATCCTATAAGCAAAATCTTTAGTCTGAATGACATACATTTGAATCTAAGATTTTACTTACACCTGGTATTGTACATCCATTCGCTAGTGTAAACATGGTCCAGATTAACTCCAAAGGTCTCTCACATTAGTCACTCACAGACAGTATTATAAGAGCATAGAAAATAGCAACTTTTCATTTTTTGCATTCTTAGTGCATGATGCAACTCCAGAAGAATCAGGCTTTAAATGGAAAAAATATCAAAACTCTTTGGTCATTTTAGAGCGACATGCTAATGGTCTAATCCGATGTAATGATCTATGCTAAGCTAAGCTAAAAGTGTTCACACCAAAGCTGAAGAACAGCTGAATTGGTTCAAAAATAGTAAAATCCAATTGTTTAAAATAGGGGAGTTAATAATTAGCCTTTTTGTAAGTGGAGTGTTCCTTTAAGTATAAAGCAGCATAGTCAAATGGAACTGAAAGCTAATGCTTGAAACTCTTGCTGTATCTGCATGAGTTTGACAGACAACCCTGGACTATTTGTTGAGTGTTGTAACATTTGTTTGTCATCAGAAAATATATAAAATGTACTTTTTAAAGATACAACTCTTTCTTTATTATAACATTATTTCTTTATAACCATATATTTCTTTATAATGTAAAATACACCCAAATGCTATTAAAAAAATCACTTCAGTAAGTAATAGAAACAACATGCTATGATGTATGTAAAATGTAATCCAAAGTGCTTTGTTTAAAAAATAAATGAAACAGCAAGTAGTCACAGAAGATTAATCTTAGATATGTGCTAACACAAGATGTGCTGATCTGTCCTGCAGTAAGAGTTAATGGTGCCATATTCAGATACAGTATGTGTATAAGGCCTGTGTCTTGTGTACTTTCCTGGATGCATGTTAGGACTCATTGGGCTGTTCAAGGCTCTGTATGAGGTCTGTGTACATACTAGAGTTAATATATCGAGGGTAGGAGTCTCGCTGCATCAGAGTGTAGATCTGCTGCTGTGCCTCATCAAACGTACAAGATGAGGGTTCCAGCATGTTCCTGTTGATCACTTCACGTACGCGTGAATCCAGACTCACCTACATATGCAAAACAGATAGCCATAATCATAGTATATGGTGAGACATTGTGGTTCTGCTACAAAATCATTGGTTTAAAGCAGGGGTGCCCAAACTCGATCCTGCATAGTTTAGCTCCAACTTGCCTCAACACATCGTTTTGGAAATTTCTAGTATACCTTGATAAAGCTTGTTTAGCTGACTCAGGTGTGCTTAATTGGGGTTGTACATTAGTAAAATGTTTAGTGCTGGTTATATTGAACATGCTACAGTTTTTCTCAGTCGCTTTGCTGCATTTTTCACAACATTATTTACATTTGCACTCTTCAACCTCCACAACAGTTAGTTATTTATGCACATCATAGTAGTTTGTCATTCCTTCCAAATTGCAAATGCTTTTGGACACGCCTCAATTGCTTTCATACAACTCTCTGCTGTTTTATAACATAATTTTGTCATGTCAGTCAAAATAAGCTAAACTTGTGAATGCTGAATAGTCATTCCATATAAAACTAGTCCTCATTACTTGAGTCATTACATACAAAAATGTTGAACTAGTTGTCAAAATTTTTCATGCTAATTTTATATTAAAAAATTTAATCTTTTTCTTTTTTCTTAAAATGTTTTCTAAATTAAATATTTTTTCTCAGGTGAACCTTCTTTTTTACTGATGAGAAGAGGTGTGTGAAGCATTAGTTGCAACCAATCATAAGCCACTTCTCTAGAATCACTCAAAACTGAATCCCATAACCCTCCACTTCACAAGCATATATGACCCAAGCAGGGCATAGTGTGTACCATTTCTACAATACTGTGACGCAGAAGTGGAAGAGGGGTGAGGGTGTGTGGAGGAAAGGGAAACAAACAGGGAAAGAGGAAGAAGAGACCAATAACAAAGGTGAATTCCCAATGAAATTGGGATTTTTTTTGTGGATCATGTCAATCATGGCCTCACAATGGCTGAGGCTGGTCGAAGGGTGCAGCCAAGTGTTGGGCGAACCACTGTAAATTATTTAAACATTTCGTTGGGAGAACAGGTGTGTATAAATAGACAGTAATTCAGCAAACAATCTGCACTGCACTACTGTCATTGTGTCAAACATGAAGCTTGCAGTGGGACAAGAACTTTTTACATTTTATATTTACGCTTACAGATTTACTGCTTCATGGATTTGGTGTAGTGTTAGGATGCTTTCACACCTAGACTTTTGTTTCAGAACCTGTCTCGTTTGCCAAGTTAGCGTGGTTTGTTTGGCATATGTGAATCCAGCAATCGCGCTCGGATCTGCACCAAAACAATCTGTCCGAGATCGCCTGAATGAGGTGGACTTGGCTCAATTGAAACAAACTCATAAGCGGATCGATTGTAGTGAGAAAGCAATACGATATGAGCCCGGCTATATCACAGTGTTTTATGGATATGTTATAGGCATATGGCTGTATGAAGAGAGAATTATGAGTAGGTTGGAAGACATTCCAGACCTCCTAAGTCTTCTGGAAGTTACGGGAGTCTCCCTCAAATGCAAAGAGACTCCTGGATGCCTGCAAACGAGTGATAATCTACCGGAAATCATGCGTCTCCTTCCCGGCCCTCAAATACGTTGCGCACCCTGTCAACCATGAAACCATGAAACTCAAATGAGGAGAGTTTACTCGCATATGACTTGTTTTAGCTAGTTTTTGGTCTGTTTAGAAAATTTGTCGTGTTAAAGTGATGCACAATCGGCAACAATGTAGCAATTTTAATCCTTGTTTCAGAACAAATGAAGTGATTCACAGGTGTGAAAGCTCCCTTACAGTAAAGATTTGCCATATTTACTGTAATTTTTCTCTGCACCACATAGGATTGCAGGACAACATTGCAGAGGTGGAAGAGGGCCCCTTTTTACTCTGCAACAAGAAGAAGCCATTTGTGCAATGGTGACTGCAACCAATGTCCTAAGATTGAGAGAGATAAAAAGTGCTGTTATAGAGCATGACAACATCTTTGGGAAAATTGAATCCATGTCAATCGCTACAGTTGACAGAGTGCTCAGGATAAATTAAATGCACATGAAGCAACTGTACAATGTGCCATTTGAACAGAATAGTGATAGAGTGAAGGAGATCTGTCACTAGTATGTAGAGGTAAAACATGTATGTGTTTTATTCATACTCTAATGTTTAGTGCTGTAAACTGTTTACTTTGTCATGCACTACACTTACATGACAGTTCTGTATGTGTATTCACAGTGTAAACTGTACAATATGTTGTCCAAAATGTATTATGTTACACAGGAAAAGTTATATTTTTTCTTGCTCTCTCTTCTGTAATAAAGTGTGTACTGGAGCTGGAGGCCGGGGAACCGCTGCACACATTCATATACATTGATGAGGCGGTTTTCAATCTGGCGAAAGGTAGAAGATGTGGAAGGAAACGCATTGGACATAGAGCAACCATTGATGTTCCAGGTCAATGAGGAGAAAGTTTTACTCTGTGTGGAACCATCTCAGAAAACAGTGTCCTCACCCATATACCCCGTCTTGGTCCATACAAACATCTGCTGACTTTTTTAGGCACTCTTTACAGGGACAAAATTCTGGAGATCATCTGAACAAGCCTAATGTGCATTTTCACCACTCGGATGTTGTCAGACAGGGGTTTGCAACACACGATAGGGTGCTGGTGGAATATCTCACTCCCTACTTACCATTCCTAAATCCATTTTTTTTCTCTTCCTGGAGGTGGAAGGTATATATCCGGCATCCACATACCCAAATGGCCCTGCTCGTGGCCATGGATGCGGCATGTGATGACATCACAGCATAGTCCTGCAGAGGTTGGATTCGCCACTCGAAGAGATTCTTTAGTCGCTGCATTGCAAGAGATGATATTGGCTGAGATGTAGATGAAACTACATCTACAAAACAGACAGAGTGGAACGTCTGGGTGTGCATGAAGGATTTACAGACCTGTATATGTTGTAGTTTCAGTTCCAATATGTACTGCATTATTGTTTACAGTTGTGCACAGCTCTACCCAAAGGAAGTTTATATTTGTTGTAGATAAGGGTGTATTTATTCTTTTGCACAATGCTGTTAATACATTAGAATTGCAAAGACCAAATGCAGTAAACATGTGAAACATACATATTCAGTGTCTTGTACTTAAATACCTTACTAAATACAGTGATGTCTAACTTTACTGTATAGCTGTGCAAATAGTATATCCTGTCTTGAGCATTTTCTGGAAGTGTCACAAAAATCTGACTTTTTTGCATTAGAAAGGATTTAGAGAGTATTAAGAGTAAACTCCTAATGAAAACATGACAAAGCCATTTGACTATCTTGTTCATAAACAATGGTGTCAGGACTTTTAATCTTGATGACACTGTCATTGACATGAATACATGAATTGCTTTTGTGGAATGAGCTGTCCATTTTGAGCAAGTGACACGCTTTTGCAGGTTATCAACTAGTTTTTGAAGTTCTGCTAATTGTTTTGAGATTTGCATTAACTGTTGTGCAAATGTAAATAGTGTAGTGAGAAATGCACCAAAGCCACTGCGAAAAACTCTTATGTAAATGTAAATGTGAATATATACACACTTCTTTGTTGTAGTTTTAAAAGAAGAAAGATTTCTTTAATTAAGAAAGAACAATCGTCTGTAAAGTCACTAACCCAATCTGCTTTCTCATGTTCTTACACAATCTGTTAAAGGGTCACGAAACACCAAAACACATTTTTTGAGCTGTTGACAGTCGTATATGTGTCCCACACTGGTAAAAACACTATTAAGACACCTATATTTCACTAAAAAGTGTAAATTGGTTGTATTTGCGTTATTTCAAGCAAATTCGTACTTCTGGTTTGAAACGAGTTTTTGAATCTGCGTCACGGTCATGACATAATAGCGTTGTATTCCAGTGTGCAGACTGGATGTCTGTGCCAGAGTGTGTCTTATTACGTCTTACAGTGTGATACATTAATGCATTAGTAAGGCTTGGTTCAAACCAATCAGCGCGCTCTATTGTGCAACTTCATTAATATTCATTAGTGTCACCGTGTTTACACGACAGAGACGCCACGTTGTGTTGGCAAAACAAACGTGAAGTGTTGCTTTTATAGTTTGCTGCCGTTAAGTTTTGTTTTCATTTTCTCTCTGTGAGAGCTCATCTGGAGTCACGTGTGGATTAACAGTGTACGCGACGCTCGACAACAATAACTTACGTGTCTAAGGAGGAACATTGTTTACCTAAGAGCTGTTCTCATCTGCAAACGCTGAGATCCGGATTCGCTTGTAGTATTCTCTTCATAAAGACGCGGCTCTTGTTGCTGGTGATTGTCCTGTCTCTACAGATTTGGTAAGTGAGTTTTTACCAGTGCTCTTTGTTTATTCAGTTTGTTCGTATCGAACTAAGTTAACTATTGCACCGAGTGTAAACATGTTAGCACCACAACCAAACTTTAACCTCGTGTAAGGTTTTTACCGCATTTTGTGACCGGAATAACACACGCGGCTTTCTGACGCTACCTGCCGTGTGCATCTAAGTTTCTGGGAAATGCGGAGGGTTTTTTCTCTCATTCGCCGTGCGGTATCAAACATTGCATGAAAAATACACGCTTAGAGCAGATCCTCGAATCAAATATCTTGTTTGTCGCGAGGGGCATGAATGAATTCCCTGAATCAAAGAGCCAAACTGCAGTTAAAGTCCAACATTTAATAATTTGGCAAATAATTCGACTACAGATGTCCATGTAGGTTAAACACCATCACTTTCTCCTGTGTGTGTATTTTGACTCTGAAACTCGCGCGTGCCCAAATAGACACTCCCACACCCTCCCACTTTAGTTCCTCCGACACTCCCCCCTAAACAGAGCTGGACACGCCCACTTTTCTGACTTTTTCCAAAGTAGAGGTGTGAAAACACCCTGCTGAAACGAGGGGGTTTCATGGCCCTTTAAATTTTCAGTTAAGTGAAGTTTCTTAAAGTAATATCGATAGGAGCACGTGATAGAATTGACTACAGCTGATCCCTATCACTAATCACTAACTAGCCATATCACTCTAAATTCAATATAAATATCCAGCATATCGAGAACTACCTCCGAACTACCTCCTAATGCTTATTGACCAGGCGGGAGCCTTGAGCTCATCTATCACCGAGCTCAGGGTTGTCTCCCGGGACAGCATGCCAAACTTGCTTAAATAGTCAAGCATTATCTAAGTGTGAACTCTTGAAACAACAATTGTTTGGGACAGAATAATAACACCAATTATTATGCCTATTATTTGTAGTATTTTTGTAGCATTTAAACTCCTCCTTCAAAATATACAAAAAACAAAAAGCTGGAGTTTTGACTGCATATACTTTGTGAAAGAATGACTGAGTATGTCTAATGCGCCGTCACACACAAAAGCCACAAATTTCAGCAGCTGTGTGATGCAAAAAAAAAAAAACATGTTGATTTGCATTATTGCTAGTGACAAGTAACGCTTGAAATATACAGTGCATCCAGAAAGTATTCAGTGCTTCACTTTTTTCCCCTTTTTTTTTGTTACAGCCTCATTCCAAAATGTTAGAATTTATTTATTCACTTAAAGTTTACCTACAATAGCCCATAATGACAATGTAAAAAAAAGATATAATGAAATTGTTGCAAATATATTACAAAAAAAAAAAAAAAACTGAAAAATCACATGTACATAAGTATTCACAGGCTTTTGCTGTGAAGCTCTAAGATGAGCTCAGGTAAATTCTGTTTCCACTGATCATTCATGTTTCAGCAGCTTAATTGGAGATAACCTGTGGTAAATTTGGTTGATTGGACATGATTTGAAGGCATACAAGGCATACACCTCTCTAAATAAGGTCCCAGGGTTGACAGTGCATGTCAAAGCACAAACATAGCATGAAGACAAAGGAACTGTCTGTAGACCTCCGAGACAGTATTGTCTAGAGGCGCAAGGCTAGGGAAGGTTACAGAAAAAGTTCTGAGACTCTGAAAGTTCCAGTGAGCACAGTGGCCTCCATAATCCGTAAGTGGAAGATGTTTGGAACCACCAGGACTCAATGGTCACTCTGTCTGAGCTTCAGCGTTCTTCTGTGGAGAGAGGGGAATCTTACAAAAGATTCTGCAATCTACCAATCAGGCCTGTATGGTAGAGTGGCCAGACGGAAGCCACTGCCTGCCTGGAATTTGCCTAAAGGCATCTTAAGGACTCTCGTTCATCTTCTAGCAGGATAATGACCCAAAGCACACTGCCTAAATATCAATGGAGTGGCTTTACAACAACTTGTGAATGTCCTTGAGTGGCCCAGCCAGAGCCCAGACCTAAATCCTATTGAACTTCTCTATAGAAGTCTGAAAATGTCTGTACACCGTCGCTTCCCATCCAACCTGATAGAGCTTAAAAGGTATTGCAAAGAGGAATGGGCAAAAAATCTCTAAGAAAGGTGTGCCAAGCTTGTGCCATCATATTCAAAAAGACTTGAGGCTGTAATTGCTCCCAAAGGTGCATCAACAAAGTATTGAGGGGGGTGGGGGTGGGGGGTTTAATACATTGTCAACAATTTCCAAAATCTTTTTTTTCACATTGTCACAATGGGGTATTGTGTGCAGAAGTTTGAGAAAATAAATGAATTTAATCCATTTTTGAAAAAGTCAATCCATGTGGAAAAAGTCAAACGCTATGAATACTTTCCGGGTGTAATTTAAACATCATGTCTGTTTGCCTAAGATGCGTCAATTACATCAGGTTTTCACTTTTGTCATGTGTTTGAATATTAAAATGGCCTTCTTATGAATTGTCAGTCACTGAAATGGCCCCCAGCCAATTTGAGTTTAAGACCCCTGCTATACAAACTTCAGATGACTGCCAACTTAGTGCCGACTCCAAGACTTTTGGAAAGAGGTGAGCAAACAATGATCTATGTACACAATAGAGACAACGATTGCAACAATTTTGTGATCAAAAATTAAATGCGTAGTGTTACAATGTGTAAATCGTTATGCATACCTCTTTAGTTGACAATACAGAGACGTAGTCCTCATATATTTTTTTCACAGTTTGCTCTACCGTGGTTTTATTGGTCTCTTTCTTTAGATCCTCACAGGAGAGCCAGAACATCAGGTTCTCTTCACTAAATTCAGACTTAAGAAACTGTTGGAGGTGCAATCGGCCTTGTGGACTTTTTATTAACCTCTCAAATGACTCTCCCCATGCTTGCACCTCTTCCAAAGTGAGCTGAGGTCTAGAGAAGAGGCGATATAAGGGAAAACATTATTTAATCTTAATAATCATATGGTAACGCACCCGTCTGGTTAGGATCTGTTTATATGCAAACTAAAGACTATATACTCTAAAACAAATGTAGTTAAAATTCTAAAGTTTGCAACATGCTTTAAATGTAACAAAACATTACAGTTTTATTTTATAGTCTTTTAAAAACATAAAAGTAACACTCTCAAAACTTTTTCATTAATTTGTTGACCGCACAGTATGAGTACTCACCAAACAGGGTAGGAAAAGTTAGTTATGGCTAATGAATTTTCTGAATATAATTAAAAAGGATTAAATTAAGGGTGTTGCTCAGATCCACACAAATATAGCAGCTTTATTATTTGTCAACAAAATAAAAATGTTGCTACTTTGCATCTGATAAACCACTTTCTTACCCACAATTCCACTGGTAGTGATATATTCATCAAAAAAGCCATAAATAAACAAATGAAAAATCTGTTAACTATGATAATATTAACAACAATGATAATAAAAGATATTTAAAGAGTTATTCAAAGCTTGCAAACATCATCAGTTATGAAGATTGTTCTGGGGGCATAGAGCAATACATTTTTCACTACTCAATTGTCAATTCTTAATTGTTCTTAATTCTTCTTAAGATCAATATATTCAGTGTTGTTAATATTGTGTTTTAGTTTGTTTTACATTTAGTCTAAAAGCTAAAAACATCCCACCTCTATATTATGTGTAGGCTACTTTATATCTTACCTACAAATTATTTGGCTCAGCTTTTATAACAGAGCTAATGCTTGCAGTTGAACATTTTAGTTCTGTTGTGCTTTTGTGGTCACAAAACCTTGATTGAAACCAATCTCAGAAATAATATGTTAGTCCTGGGTGATGGAAAATAGTTTTTTTTTTTTTTTTCAAACAATCAAGCAATCGTCACTATTTCCATTATTTTCCACAACTGTTACTTTTAAGGGGTCATGAAACCCTGGACTAAATTTTCTGAAATGTTAACAGATAGTAATTTGGCCACATTGCTGATTGGCCATTGTGTTCACATGTTTAACAGATGGGATTAAGTCTAATTATCCATGGTTTACAACAGTGCTCACTAGAAGTGGAATGGTTCACAAAACCATTGGTTCGTTTCTAGGTCACTTTTTTTTATTTTAATCAGTTTACATTGTACAAAAATTCCCTATTACTACACTTAGAAATACCATACATCAACATAAAATCCATGGCCATAGCCTAAACTAACATTTACCAGATTTAAAAAACTTATTCTCAAGACCATGTAGTCAAAAAATTGATATAACCTGAAGCATGCAAGTTAGCAGCATTTACTGTGAAAGACACACTGTAAAATCTGTAGAAATTAACAAAGTTAAACCTGATTGGGCAGAATAGACTGTCACTGTGGTGGGATATAATCATAGTAACACACCAACAAACTGCTTCAGGGGCTGTTCACATACTGCGTCTTTTGCGCACACAAGTTTATTGTTTCAAATGTATATGTGTGGCTTAACAAGGCATGATAAGATGACAGAATGGTTCTGTTTTATTTATTTATTTTTAAATAATTAATTCCTAGTAGAGGTCTGCATTTCCGTGGCTGTACTTTGGGAGTCGTGGGACCTGACCAGATTTTTTGCGGAGCGGTAATAAATTTCTGAATAAAATGCTGGAGCAGTTGGTAACTCTGATGTAATTTGAATGGGAGCGGGCAGTCTAACAATATAGCGTTCCCAAGTCCCAACGCTAATTTGGAACAGCATATCTGTGATTTCCTCATTTTTATTGAGCACCGGTACAGCCAGTGACTGTTACACATGATGAACACATGACCAGTGCTTTCTGAATGTGCATTTTATTTATCTGTGCACACATGATCTGGATAAGGATTCTCAGTGTGGGCTTTGCCATGGTAGAGCAGTTTGAAGATGCACTTTCCTTGAAAGACACATAGCTTGCATTATAAAACAGCCAGTTTACTGTAAGGAAACCCACATTAGGCAAGTCTGATGTATAGAAGTCTTTTTATAGACACAAATGTAAAAAGAATTACCCTTTGCGCAATGTGATAATACCTCAAAGTTTTACGTTCAGTCACGAGAATGAAACCTCGGGTGTAAGGCTGCACTCATTTCTCATTAAAAAGGGGCAAACAAAACTGACCCCAGTTTTATCTTTTATCTTTCTCTTTGGAAACAAGATCTAAATTTATCAGGAATGGTCAGGAAATTATTTAAAGCGGGCAGCAGGTGAACAAAGACTGAATATACAGCGGGAGTGGTCAGGTGCGGAATAAAACCTTGCAGGGGTGCGACTATATAAATAGTCCCGCGCAGACCTCTAATCTAGTGCTCACATATACACTGGTGTATTTGTAATCAGCATCTATCAGCTGATCCATCAGTGGATTGGCACAGCATTAAAATGCTCCAGTGCCATGGGAGTTTTCTGTCTGTTTAAAGCAGATATCTGTGTGTCTTAAATTTAAAATAAGCACTCTTAAAAAAATTTAATCTTGCATTTCCTCAAGTGTTTCCTCTGATATTCAGTATAGGTCACAATGACAGATGACCATCGCTATCTATCCTCTTTCATTTCTCCTTTGCTCCATCATGCCCACTCCACTACCTTCTGCTTACTGCTTTCTGTGTCTATTTAACTTGCAATTTTCAAAAGAATTCTGAGTTAGAATAAATGAAAAGGGGGTGTCATGTTCCTTTAAGTTAAGATATACTATCTATTAATGACCACAACCCCGAGCCACTAGCTGAATACTTGGCTTAAAACTCCTCAGTATAAACCTGAATGACTGACTGTATGTAGAGGAGTGGTGTCATGCATATTCCACTTGCCAATTTCACTGGACCATTTTTCATACATGTCAGTTAATTGGTCTGATTGGTCTGGTGTGATTTCACTAAGTAGGACGTGTTTTTGGATTAATGTCTTTGTTTATCCTGGAAAAACATGCCAATCAGAATAAAGGAACAAGTTTGCGATTTATGTTAAGTTTAGGCTTACTGTTATTTATGTATTTCTATATGATTGTTATCCAACTTTTATTGCTCTCTGATTTTAAGAATAATTTACAGTTAGGCTTGGGTTTATCAGTAGGGATTAGGTTTGGATTAGATTTTCGAGCAATGACTTTTCAAACAATGACATTCCAAGATCAGCATCGATGTTAATGCAGGATCACGTTGCACTTTAAAAATCACACCCACCAAATCCCCTTATGGCATCACAACATATTGTCTCTGTTTTTTGATCACTCTATATATTTGTGCAAATCAAACTTTAAAATGGAAGGATACAAAATTTAAAAAGAAAATTATAAATTGAAGAAGCATAAAATAAAAAAGACCCTTTCATTAGCCCTTTAAAAATCCTTAAAAGCGAATGTAATGTAATAAAACTTTAAGTTAAAGTGTAAAATATAAAACACAACTCACATCTGATTCGTGGCGTCCTCCTCTTGTTTTTCTGAGATTGTCGCCGTAATGCTTTCCTCCTTATAAGATCGTACTGTCAGACTGCGCACACACACACACACACACACACACACACACACACACACACAGTTACATACAGAATATAAAAACATGTTTTTAGTGTATGTGAAATAAACATCTACTGTGTGCACAGTGTGACATCTGCAAGTCTCAGGAGAGACAACAGCCTTAATGAAATTTCCTAGAACACCTGCACAAGTTGGTATTCTGGTCATACAATGACGTTAGACTTACTATTTCCAGAAACAGTTCATTCAGAATAATGTACAAAATAACTGTCTAACTAACTAAGTAAATAAATATGTAAGCATAATATAAATTAATAGCAGAATACAAATAATATATTTTACCTAAATTTGATACATTCTATTAATCACTCACTCACATTGCAAAACTATATTTATGTAAGAGACAAATTAGCTAAATGCTTAGGTGTTTTAGATTGGCAAATAAATAAATACAAATAATAATAATCACAAATTAGAAACAAATATGTCCTGGTTCCTTCCTCAATCTCTCACTTACAAATTTTCCTTCGGTTTAGTCTCTGCATTATCAGGTGTTGCCACACCTGAATAAATCTAGTCACTCTGGCATAAGTTTTTCAAAGCAGATGCCCTACTAATTGTAACACATCACTGAAAGTACAACCCTCAGTGATGGAAAACACTGCACATTCACACACTGCGACCAATTTCATTCATTCATTCATTCATTCATTCATTCATTCATTCATTCATTCATTCATTTTCTTTTCAGTTTAGTCCCTTTATCAATAACTGTGAAACATACACATAAAGTACACTATGGCCAATTTAGCTTACCCAGTTCACTTATACCACGTCTTTGGACTTGTGGGGGAAACGGGAGCACCAGGAGGAAACCCACGCTAACACAGGGAGAACATGCCAACATGAACTCCACACAGAAATGCCAATATATGCATTTAAAAATGCTGAGTAGTTTCAATCCAAATTTGAGTAGAAAATTTGCATTAAGTCATTTAACGACTTAAAATCAAAGAGGCATTCAGCCATTCAACAAGAAGAGACAGATGTGCAAAATGCAAGTGTGGGGTGAAGTGTCAGAGAGATGAAAAAGTCTACAGCTGGTTTGTCAAGCCCACTCATGTTAGCCACTCTCAGAACTGCATAATATTTTAAGGTTGTCATGTGGTGCAGTGAGGGGGAGAGAAGAGGGGGTCCTGTTTTCGGTCACAGGAGTTCAGGTGATCGCAGAAGAGATGGGGTTTTAGTTGTCATTTCAATGATACTAGTGAATCTAAGTGGGAATGGCAAGATCATTCCACCAGTGAGGAACATTGGTCTCTAAACTAAATCATCTCGGCTTTCCTTTCTCCATTTGCCTCTGGATTCAAGATGTCCTCAGTAACCGTTCACAGAGAGTCAAGGTAGAGCGCCACGTCTCTTCATCACTCAGCCTTAGCACAGGCTCCCCACAGGGATGTGTGCTGAGTCCCTTACTGTACACTCTTTATACACATGACTGCACTCCTTTCCATTCAAGTAATACTATCCTGAAATTTGCAGAAGATATTGCAGTGGTTGGGCTCATCACAAATGGAGATGAGACCGCATACAGAGATGAAGTAAACCAACTGGCTTTATGGTGCACTGATAATAACTTGGCCCTCAATACCTTAAAAACAAAGGAAATCATAGTAGATTTTAGGAGGAACAGACCAGATACTCTGCCCATACATATGCATGGGGACTGTGTGGAGATTGTCAGTAATTTCAAGTATCTGGGCCTGCATCTGGATCAAAACATATCATAGAAAACCAACACTATTGCACTGGTCAAAAAGGCACAGCAGCGACTCCATTTTCTAAGGGTGTTAAAAAAATAACAACTTGGCCCAAGAACTGCTAGTGTCTTTTTACAGATGCACTATTGAAAGTGTGCTGACGTATTGCATCCCAGTGTGGTATGCCAGTTCCACTGCCCAGGAAAAAGCTGCTCTCAAAAGGGTTGTCAATACAGCGCACAACATCATCGGCTGCACTCTTCCCTCCTTAGAGGAGTTGTTTAAGGCCCGCTGCTACAGCAAAGCATGCAGCATCCTGAAGGACTCGTCTCATCCAGAATACCACCTATTTCAAATTTTACCTTCAGGGAGACGATATAGAACCATAAAAGCCAAAACAAACAGACTAAAAAATAGTACATATCCAACGGCTGTTGCAATAATGAATGGACATTAAATTGAGGGTGTTTCGGGCCAAAATAATTTTAATCTTTTTAATTTGCTGCTAGGATATGCACTTGCCACTTTATACACTTGGACATTAAATTGTATGCCTTCCTGGCTCACATTTTGTTAACTTTTAAATTTGAAAAGCTGCTTGGAAATGCACTTGCCACTTTATATGCACATCATATGCACTTTTAAGATTGTATTGTAACTCTTCATTTGATTTTATATTTTTATCTCTTTTTAATTATTGTTGTTGTTTTAGATAAATAGGACTGCACTGAAGGGAAGGGCAAATGTAAATTTCGTTGTATTTTGTACAATGACAATAAAGATTCTGATTCTGATTCTGAAAAGGTTTTGGAAAGTGACTTATAACCTCTCTGTGATGGTACCAGAAGACGGAGCTCACTCTCCTGGAGGGGATGCAGACCTTCAGGAGCAGGTGGAAGTAAGAGGGTGCAGTGCTAGTGGCTGTTCTGTATACAAGCATCAATGATTTGAACTTGATGCAAGCATTGACCGGTACCCAACACAGAGAGATAAAGAAAGGTGTTACATGAGGTCTCTTGGGCTGATTGAAGACCAGACAAGCTGCAGCATTCTGAATCATTTGTAGAGGTTAAGAGAGTCCATCTTGAAGAGAAATCCAACAGTCCAGCCTTAAAATGACAAGAGCTTGGACAAAAAGTCATGAAGCATGATCTGTGAAGAAGTGTCTGGTTTGATGTTGAAAAGAATGATTTAGGTATCTAGCAATGTGCTTTTTGAAGGACAGGTGATCATCCAGAATTACCATAACATTCTTTCCTAAATAACATATAGATGATTCCAGTTGGATTAAGAAATTGTTGAGTGAGTCGCAGGGAAGACGAAAAGTTTAGTTTTTGCCAGATTAAGTTGTAGGTAATGATCTTTCATGCAAGCTGAGACATCCTTTAGGCAGTGCGAGATCCTCGCAGCTATCATTGGGCCATCTGGATGAAATGAAATATAGAGCTGAGTGTCATAAGAATGATAAGAGAAAGCATGTAATTTGATGATGGTTCCCTGTGGTTAAAATCTAAGACAAATCTGTGCCCATTCACATGAGTGACAATCACGCAGTGTGAATTTTCAAAAAATCGAAAACTAAATATCTGGACCTGTTGGGGATTCAAAATCCTATTGTGTAAAAAGTGTTCTAAGTGAAAAACATTAGCAAGTATGACTTATAGCCAATCAAAAACCGCAGTTGGGAGTTTCAGGGAGAAATAACCACAATATCAGGAACTATAATCTATAATATTGTAATGAATCGTCACCGAGATTGGGATCCATCGTGCAGTTTATTATAATCACAGTAATCAAACAATCGGCAGAGTAACAGAATCGTGGTCATAAACAGGCAAATGGTCAGGGCTGGCAGCAAGGAATCGTAGACGGTAAACAGGCACAACAGGAAAATCAAAGTAGAGTATAAACGCTCAGAAATGTCAACTGGTAGCAAACAAGACTTTGCAAAGAATGAAACAAACCAGTCTGCTTAAATAGATGGCGGAGTGATTTCAGCTGGGCCCGTAATCAAACAGACATGGGGTAGATGGGAAATGTAGTGAGGGAACTTTCAGTTAATAATGAGGTGATGGTGCCCTCTGCTGGTTAGAGGAGGGAATCACGGAGTTTGTCTCTGTGACAAATATAATATAAACTATAATCTATAATAGTTTATGATAGTACGTTTTAATATTCGGCCCTGACACAGGCTCCTTTTTTCTCATTTTGGACCCAGGAAATCATGGACAAAACTTTAACAGGAGCATCCATGTCATTTTGATGCTACGTCTGAAATACAATGAGGCACCATTTCCAATCTTTCGCGAGAACCCGGACCTCACGTGTGACCTTGCAATATTTCCTTACCACTTTTCACGTGCAACTGATTGTGAAATGGTATGTGAGCTAGACAAAGTTGTGGCCTATTCTTCTTGTAATTGAAACCATATAACGTGTAACATCCTGTCATTGATTCATAATGACAACACAGCAGCAACTGAATGCTACCCCAAATTGTTATGCAGTGTGAAAACTGTTTAATCTATGAGCCAAATTAATATTATTGTGGACAAATTAGAAGTTAAAGCAGAGAACACTAGGAGAACAAAGAACAGGAAACAGGACCGTGGCCAGGTAAGTAGAAGGGATTCTGATTACCTGTTCTTTCAGAGTCAAGACAAGACAAGGAGTGTGTTGTGTGACTTATTTGTGATGCAGCATGATTAGAGTCAGGTGATGAACGTTAGTAGTCCAGGATTGGGGCAGGGGGGAGCCTGGTGGTTCTGAAGAATCTAGCCATTTTTCCATGGACTGCACATAAAAAGTTGACAACCCCTACAATGTAGAACTGACTTGTCAGGAAGATTTTTTTGGAAGGCAGAGGATGTCCGTTTTATGATCTCACACTCATTTGGGCCATAGCCTTCCCAGTCTACAAGATACTCCAGTTTGCCCTACTGGCACATAGAGTGCTGTGGATGGAGTACACTCCCTTTTTGTTATCCACAGCAGGTAACGGGGCAATTTATCAGTGCCAGGCTTAATGTACAAGAAAGTGGCAGGTGAGTGATAGGGCTTGAATTAAGAGCTCCAGGAGTCCAGGTGAATAAAGTAGATGATTTAAAGCAGCTTGCAATATCCTAAATTTTCCTTTTCATCTGCACACTTACCTGTGGATGTTATGTTGAAAATTTAATAGCTTGAATGCTTTACAAACCTTTTAGATGAAATGGGGTTCACTATAGGAGACAAAATTTTATGGGATTCAGAA